AGGTTTTGATTTCTATGTTTTTTAAAAAAGGTTACAGGCTAAGAAAAAAAGTACTTGGCATTTCATTTTAAAAAAGAAGTTGTGTACTTAATCTCAGGATTCATTAAATGTTTATTATATTTTAAATAACACCACTAAACAAGATTAACTAAATTATGAGGATTAATTCAGCTGTTAACCCTTACAAAGATAATTATGAAATAAAATTATTCCATAAAAGTTGACTAACAGATGCTTTAAAGGAAACCTCATTTCATTTCTCATTTCAGTTACAGAATTGGACATGTTTATATGATTTACAAAATTGGTTCTATATCACGACTATTGGAATTTTCTATTATAACCCATTTTTGAACTGTATTGAGGTTATAGAGATAAAAATTGTGCTTTATATTGATTACACCTGTTTAGATTTCCAGTTTCTTATAATAAATTTGATGTTTTTATAGATCATACATATATATGTATATATATTTATACATAGTTTTCAGAAAAAGAAAACTCTCTTTTACCTCAGTCACCCATTTTCTTTGCCCAGTGGCAACCACTGTTACTAGATTCTTATTCTTTTTGAGAAAATAAATTTTTTCCCCTTTCATTTTTTCCCCATGATGATATATTATGCACAGTATTTTGTAGATTTTCCCCAAGAGAGGATGCAGAGTTCTTGGGTGTTGGAACTTAAATACTGTAATGTAAAGTTAATGACACTTAAATACTATGAATGTAAAGTCAGTACATCATATGTTATAAGGGGATAAGAAAGGGAAGCAAATATATATATATATAACAATTGTATAGGTACCTTTATTCAGGAATCAGTCTTGTAAGTTTCAAAGTAGTTACTTTTCTGACTTTTAATAGCAGAATGCATCATTCTCTCCCATGGGGATTCTTAAGTATTAGGTACTGCTTACTGTCTAGCATTTACAACTCTGTGCAGCTTTCTTCACAGTTTATCTTGTTGACTATAACCCTTCATGAAATGGTAAGAACTTTACTCCATTGACAAATGATCCTGAGAAAAGAGTTAAATACTAATATGGGGGATGGGTGGTAGTGAGAAATAGAAAAGTTCTAAAGCAAGAAAATAGTAGGAAACTGAAAAGTTTTAATCAAACAAAAATAGAAATTTTAAATAAATTTAGGAGTCAGCTATTGAATTTAGCAGTAGCTAGAATCTGTGATTTATACAAGACTATACTCATTCAATAAATATTTGTTGAGCATCTATTATATGCCAGCTATCAGTGGTAGAGTAGTAATATAGGGTCTTTGGCTTTTAAGGAGCTTACAGAATACGGAAGAGACCTGGGCAATAAACAGATAACCAAGAAAAATATATATCTGATAGTGAAAAGGGCTGGACACAGGATTAAAATAGAGTGATAGGATAGAGATGGAGTGGCTGCTATAGATTTAGAGGTCATGAAAAACCTTTTAGAATTTAACATTTAATCTGAATGACAATGAATAGCTAGCCCTTTAATGAACAAGGAGAGGAAGAATAATAAAACACCTTGTCTTAGTATTTATTAAGATTACTACTTTCTCACTGTTGTGAGCTTTTTAATGATGAATAAGGCTTCATCACATTATTAATAATTTTATGTTTTCCTACATGAAAAGATTATCCTCCCTTTGTGTAATTCTTCTAGGTAAATGTGATTAACTTAATAACTTGGCCACAATTTATCTTTGTTTTTCTTTGAATTAAAGTAAAAATTTCATTATATTTGCTTTTCGTTTGTGATCCCAGGGTGGCGTTATTACTTCCGACATGATTGAAATGATATTCTCCAATAGCCCAGAGCAACAGCTTTCAGCGACGCAAAAATTCAGAAAACTACTTTCAAAAGGTGCGTTCTGAATATGTTAAGTATACTTTTTCATTTATTTACAAAACACTACTTTCCCATAACCTGTTTTCACATCACAGATAACTTGCTTTGGAGTGTGCCTATAAACAGAATAAAAGGACACATATAAACATGAATAATTATGAGCCATGGCTAACTTTTGGATTTCCTTACTGATTTGTGTGATCTTACCAGGACCAGAAAGCAGCATTATGAACTATTTTATAAAAAACATTAAAGTGAACAAATAGTAGTCAATATTTCATGTTAATTCATATTGAGGAATTCCACTCTTTTTTAAGAAAAAGTTTAAAAATATCACTTGAAAGAGCAATGATTGTTGATTTTAATGTTAGTAGTTTATCACTAAAATTAAGTATGGATTTATCGGTGGTCAGGGAAACTATCTTTTGTATAATTAGAGTAGAATGGAATATGATACTTCTTGTCATCCTGGCAAATTAAAAGAACCCTGGAACTTGTGAACCATGTTAAAATGTCAATAGTAAATACTCAAAACAGCTGACCCCCCAGTAGTAAGTTACTGTTGTTTGGAATTATTAGTGATAAATTAGTATATTCCTTGAGGTTAACTAGAGTAAAAACCTACCACCATAACAAAAAAAAATTGTTTTTTACATGACAACTTATTAAATATTTGAAGGCCATTATAATGTACACCTTCCCCATACATCTAAAAGTGTCGCTTTTCAGCATGCTGAGCCTAATGGGTTTCTCCCATAATGTGGCTTTTTAAGGCCTTTCACCACTACTGCATGTATTTCCTGCATGTATTCTAGTTTGCCAGTCACCCCTCTTAAAAATGTGATAACTAGAATTACAGTATTGCAGATGTGTTACTACTCAGGGATGAGAGATTGCCTTCCCTGGCCTGAGACTACATTCCAATATTGTATTCTAAGATCGCATCAGTAATTTTAGTAATCATGTCTTAGTAATTTTTCATTGTATTTGCAGCAGTCTAAACTCTCTAGCACTCTTCTTCATGAACTGTTTTTAAGTTTTGTCTGTGAAGTTATGTGGATTTTCTCTTAAATTGCTTTTTAAAAGATTTAGTTGCTGAGTTTTGCTTTACCCCTGTTGCTGTATTGCCAATTTTGGCTTATTTTTCTTTCTATATGTTGGTTCTGTAATCTAATGTATTAACAGCTTTATGAGAGTATCAGATTTATTCTGTTTATTTTTGAGTGATTGATAAAAGTGTCGAACCAGGCAAAGAACATGTCATTTGAGCTCTCTCCAAATTAACACTGAACCATTATGCACCTCCTTCAGTAAGACCATTGACTTGACTAAGAATTCCTAGTAGTGCTGTAATCCAGCTGCCATTTTTCTTACATTGCTACATGAATGTCATCACACATTTTGTCAAATCTCTTGGTGAAATTACTATGCTGATTGTTTAGTACATTTCCTATTAAGATACTCTGTTGTTGAAAATGAGATTAATTTGGCAAGTCATCCTTGGTCAATTGTTGCTGGCTTCTACTTAACACTACAGCTGCAAAATTAAATCCTGCAAGCACACTCAGAATCTCCTAATTTCTTAGGACAGTTCATGTTAAAATAGATGAATAATGAAACAAACAAAGCAAAAGGGCTAGAAGGAAGTATGCCAAAATAATAACAGTCGTTGTCTTCAGATGGTTTTTCCTCTACTTTCTAAGTTTTCTAAATAGTAGAGGTGATAATTTTAATTTTGCATTTTGCTGATCATTTCCATGTGAAGGCTTACGTTATTGTGAAACCTCTCAAGCTACCCCAGTTTCAAAGTGACCAAACTCAGTTTTACATTTTTTTTTGGTTTGTTTTTAGATTTCCATGAAAGAGATGCTAAAATGGAGGGAGGGATATTATGAAGTAATTTTGAGCTATAAAGTCTTTGCACTGAAATCAAAGAATTGTTTTTCTTCTTGTTATTTTATGGGGAGACAGAACCTAATCCTCCTATTGATGAAGTCATCAGCACACCAGGAGTAGTGGCCAGGTTTGTGGAGTTCCTCAAACGAAAAGAGAATTGTACACTGCAGGTGCGAACCATTTTTATTTCTTGTCTCATATCTTAAAACTCCCTTTCCGAATTTACATTTTGTATACAGATATATTACTTTTTAAAATGTATGCAAAGAGTTAATTTTTTGATGATGATGTTTCTGTCGATCCCATTGCAAGTTTCTTTAGTAGTTTTAACATCCAGGACCTTGGTAAAACTCTTTAGAATTCTTGTCATTTTTAGTTATGTAAAAGATTATTTTATGGTAATTATGGATAATACTTATCTAGTAGGGAATTATTTGCAGTAGAGGAGCCATTATAGACAGGACCTAAGTGTGGGCTATGTAAAATTTGGTTTCGAAAGCTTTTTAGATTATACTCGTTGGCTTTCTCAGGGCTGTGTAACACAGGCTAGATTAGAGGTTCACTTATTGCCAAATCTGGTCCTAACTAATCCTCTCCCCGATCCCAAAAGAGTTGACAAGGAGATAGCCTTATCAAGAGTCTGTATGCTTTCTGTTACGTTAATTTAGTCTGTTAATACTGTATTACATAGGGTTCTAAGTAGACATTCTGCAATGTCTGGATTGCATAGTTCTTGAAATAAAAAGAACCATTGTCAACTGACTCTCATCCTGGGAGTAATTTAGAAATTTTTAAATACTACTTTGTTCCTAAATAAAGTTGGATCTTTTAGTATATTGGTAATCTTTCAATAGCTAGACTTTGTTGGAGTAACCAGATGAATTAATTTCTATACTATACTTTAACAAATACCTGTGATACTTAAATTTTCACTTGAAAGATCTAATCTGAAGGGCCCAGACCCTTTAGAGAGACTAAAATTTTTGAGGTGCAAAGTATATCACAAAATGGGATTATTTTTCCAAATAAATATCTGCCAATAACAAGTTAATAAAAGTTAATAAAGATAACTTTCACCCTTTTGTTTGCTTTGCCTTCCTCTGAGGCTGTAGGGATTGGGGCATTTTCGTAAATGACAACTCT